GTTATAATATTAAGCCCCTGTTATAATATTAAGCCCCTGTTATAATATTAAGCCCCTGTTATAATATTAAGCCCCTGTTATAATATTAAGCCCCTGTTATAATATTAAGCCCCTGTTATAATATTAAGCCCCTGTTATAATATTAAGCCCCTGTTATAATATTAAGCCCCTGTTATAATATTAAGCCCCTGTTATAATATTAAGCCCCTGTTATAATATTAAGCCCCTGTTATAATATTAAGCCCCTGTTATAATATTAAGCCCCTGTTATAATATTAAGCCCCTGTTATAATATTAAGCCCCTGTTATAATATTAAGCCCCTGTTATAATATTAAGCCCCTGTTATAATATTAAGCCCTTCTGTTTTATGCATTTCATCAATAAAGTCAACATCTTATTCAGTGCATGGATAACCTTTTTTCTAGCAGTGCCTTGGCTCTCTCTTGTAATTCTGCTGTCTTAGGGTCAATTCTTTCGAAAGATGACTTGGTTGAAGGTGAGGAAGTACTTTTGATCTTCTGCAAATTACAAATAAGACATACAAACCTTAGGCTGAGACATTTGGGGGGTCAGCTTTACATGAAGATTAAGTTCTTCCCTGCTGGCACCCTATTTGCACTTTTACTTTTTTGATCTTCCAACTGTATGCAAATAAAGTTGTTATAAATTATAAATAAATTATTCCACAAAGAAATCTGTCTCACAGAGCACTGCATGATTATTCACATCTAGTCAGGTATTTGAAATCCAACAAAGCAATTGTGTTTAATATTCTGCTATGATTCACCTTTGTCTTTCAACATCATCCCATTATTGGTTTTTTGGAAATCAATATCAGTATCTGTGCACCCACCCTAACCTAACACTGATCCTAACTTGTTATCAGTTGACTACTGTTGGGATGGGGGAGGGAGGGGTAGTTGCACAATTACTCAGATACCAACATCAATTCAGTTTTTTTAAACATGAGAAAGTCTCCAAGAGGCCAATGAAAAAGTGGTAATAGAGCATCACATATCTTTACATCAACAATTGCTTGAAATATTTACACTCATTAATACTGGAGATGTTGGAGATGAACTAGCCCTCCTGGCAATACTTCTTCTCAGTTTTGGAGAGAGACTATGATGTGGGGAAGGCACAGTTCTCTCCTTTGGAGTTCCTTCTTTGGGTGTGGAGCTACTGGGCGGAGAAGGAGACAGCCACCAGAATTCCCCTCCTACCCCACTGTCAATATACATGCGATCTCGTTCCTGACGACTTGATGGTGGATTATTACGGAAACGATGTATATACCTGTTGAAAATGATTTGGAGCCTGGTTAATTGAAGTTACATTATGATTACAGATGGTTAATTGCAAACCAAAACAAATGAAAATCTGGTTTGGTAGTAATCATGCCTCAAAAGGTTCAATGCATTGCTACACATTACATGTTACGGTGATCATTACTAGTCTGTTTAGTACTCTCTCTGGTAAAATATAAGTTATAAGAAGGATTAAGGCTTCAGGAACATTTAAAAGTTAACCCTCAGAACTCTAACATTGGTATGCATATTCTCCATACTGTTCTCTATACATTTCCTGAGGTGTTGACTTGGAGAATTTGTTCAACAACAAGAATGTCATTATACGTATGATGCACCATCCTTGCAGTAGAGAGCGCTATTTATGCAATAGCGAAAATCAGACCTGAAAAAAATCAGCCCTGTACGGAATTCGAACCACTGACCTCTGCAATACTAGTGCAGCGCTCTACCAATTGAGCTAACAAGCCAACTGGGAGCAGGCCATTAAGTTGATTCGTAATAAACCTGTGATGATATGTCATTAGTTGGTGATCATTTCCTTCATCCTTGTGACCTTAGTTTTTAATTCAAGGTAAGGTAAAGCCTACTTACGAGCCATGTGGCTCATTGGGCCGGCGCTTCACTCAGGTTTCCATAGCATGAAGTGATTAGGAGTATTTCTATCCCCCCCCCCCCGACGAAGGGCTAACGCTCGAAACGTCAGCTTTTGTAATCGTTACGATGGTCAATTTACCACTTCAACTTTGTTGATATATCCAAGTTATTCTGTATTTTTAGGTTCCGGCTGGACTGTTTATTCCAAGCATGGCAATTGGAGCTTGTATGGGAAGGGTTCTCGGTATTGGGATGGAGCAACTTGCCTTGTGAGTTAATTTTTCAAATCACTATTAATAATTGATCAGCCTAAATTAATAAGTTATCAGTTACAACTTAAAAAGGGGGAGTAGAGCTTGTGTCATCCCTAATCTAGAATTTAATTTGCAAGGTCATTGATACAGTTAATTTTTCTAAATTCAAAGAGCTAGGGAACTAATTTTCTTACTTTTTAACTCCGATGAGTGACCAAGACAGAATTTTGCCTTACAATACCAATACAATATCAAGCAAAGAGGAGTGATGAGAATAAAGAAAAATGTCAATTAGGGGATTATGAGTTGATCCAATACCAAATTATAATAAATAATGAAAATAATAATAAAATATTCATATAGCGCCTATCCTTTTCAGTGCTAGGCACTTATTCTCTATTCGCAAATTCTCTGAACTAACACCATAAGAATTGTATGGCAGACAGTAAGGAGAATTAGGGATGAGATGTTGGAGTGGAAGGCTTAAATCTGATCTTTTATGTTGAAGACCATTATTTTTTCAAGCAACCTCTAATTAAAAGTGAAACTATTGGTAGTTTCAAAAGATTGCTATGCCATTTTTTTTTCTAAATTTCCTTGTTGGCTGAAACAAAGTGTCCTTTCAGGGAATGCAACCAGAATTCTGATAGTTTTGTAAGAGAGCTATTTTGTGATATTTTCTTTCTTTAATAGCCACAATCCACACTGGTACATGTTTGAGTCATCTTGTGGTAATTCAATAGCATCTTGTATTACACCTGGATTGTATGCAATGGTAGGAGCTGCGGCAGTTCTGGGTGGGGTCACAAAGATGACAGGTGTGTCAGCATTTACTTGTACATCAAAACCTCTGTGTGGGGTTCATCATCCAGACTAGAAAATGTCTCCATTTAACTCTTTGGTCCCTAAGAGTGTCATGCTCTTAATGATTAACATGTAACTTCTCCCTATAATATCCCTACATTATCCAGCAAACAGGTAATGAGAATACTCAGACTCATCAGATAAAAGTTGTTATCTTGATCCAACACCAAATTCTCTTAACTAATTTACAAGGAAATGTGTAGCAGCTAGAGAGGACAATTAACAATCAGATCTTGGGAGTTAAAGGGTTAATTTCTCATTACAATGTTACCCCTGAATCACACATAAAGGTTATTGAGAATAAAGGAAATGATCACCAACAAAAGAAGCTCCTGATTGTAGAACAAATTCTCCTTGTCACCACTTTAGGAAATGTATAGAAAACAGTACAGAGAATATGTATACTGATGTTAGGGTCGAAAGGATTGGGAGGTGCTCTTTCAAGGAAGTCGTGATCCAGCAAGCATGTAAGAGTTGTGTGTTTTTGTCTCCTTTCAGTTTCCTTGGTGGTGATTATGTTTGAGCTGACTGGGGGACTTGTGTACATTGTACCCCTGATGGTGGCCATCATGACAAGTAAATGGGTTGGTGATGCATTTGTGAAGGAAGGAATGTATCCTCTGTTTTTACAATGGAAAATATTAATTTTGATAGAGTCTTCTTAACTGAACAGATCTTGAAATGTGAGAATGAAACAAAGAGATTTTGACTCGTATGATTGCATACTGTCTAATGATGTTAGTCTTTAGTAAAAAAAGACCCTTAACTCATTTTGAAGTTATGAGGGTCATATTCACCTCAATGGCTACCCGTTTCTGGACAACAAAGAAGAATTCACACACACAACTCTTGCAGCTGATGTTATGAGACCAAGGTAGTAAAGTCCTGGTAAAGCCTGCTGGCAAACCTGTTGGGCTGGTGCTTAAATCTGGTTCCCATAGCATGAAGCAGAGGCGGATCCAGGAATTTTTGATTGGGGGGGTCCAAACTTTGGTTCAGAAAGGACTGTTGGACTCTTTTGAGGCAAATTACTTCTCCCCCACACCCCCCCTCCCACCACTCGCGGTTGCACGTTAAAATTCCTTGGCTGCTTACCGTTTACTTGGATTCATTAAAAAAATCAGCCAGTTAAAAAGTGATATACAATCCTGTCGATGTAAAAGTTTCAGTCTCAAAGCTGTAAGTGTCAGCTCTGGTAGGGGGGGTCCGAAACCCCCGGACCCCCCCCCCNAAAAAAAAGCCCCCAAGATATTAGACAAATCTTCTCGACTTTATTTTGTGAGAAGAGACCGGATGTTACGATGTACAGATATTAGATTATGGTATATTGGCTGATATACCATAATGGCTAAGCCAATAAAAAGTCTTGAATTGCATTATCCAATGATCCAATTTTTAATAATTGTTTTATTAAAAAAAAAGCCCCCAAGATATTAGACAAATCTTCTCGACTTTATTTTGTGAGAAGAGACCGGATGTTACGATGTACAGATATTAGATTATGGTATATTGGCTGATATACCATAATGGCTAAGCCAATAAAAAGTCTTGAATTGCATTATCCAATGATCCAGTTTTTAATAATTGCTGTTACCCAATAACTTCTCAAGTTAAGTTGATCAGTTTTGTCAGAAATACCATTGATTTATTTCTCTTAACAAACGCCTTTCAAACTGAAAAACCGAATCACTTCCAATTTCAAAAGATATGGCTTGCGTTGGCTTCTGTTTACCTTTCTTTCGTCTTCGGATAGCTCCCTTTGGTTTGATGGATGATAAAATGTCTTCGGTAATGGATCAACTTGGAATGGATCTCCTCTATTTTGAACAGAACAGGAATTACAAACCACCTTATCTTAGGGAAATAAATCAATTAAACCTACATTTGGGGCTGTTTAAGTCGATGGACCATCCTAGATTACGGTCAATCCACGAGATTGTTCTTCATAGACACGTACATAAGCTCGCGCAACGGATGTACTTCTAAGTTTAAATCTTGATCACGCATAACAGCATACGTAGTTCGTTCTGAAGAAGGCTTACTTAAGCCTCGGCCGAAAAATTATGAATTACCGTTTATTTATTACTATACTGATCTGGAAACAAACCACAACTATTTTCAACTATATGACAAGCCTTTTTAGCAATCGAAGGCAGGAAAAAAATGTATACTTACGATTTCCTTAAATCCATTTCCATTAATTGATTCTAAGATGAAACGTTACAAAGTTGTTTGTATACGACTGGATTTTCGTCTCGAGAACGCGAATTAAGGACAACCCTAAACTTTTTCCACAGTTTTGCCGCCATGTTTTGAATGTCTTATCTCCAGTCTCTCGCTAACTGTACCTCCATGACAGCGAGGCGGCAACAGTAGATGGTGTCACGCGGCGTTGTGTGATCGCGTTTAGGAACAGCATTTTGCATTTCAGGAGGGTCACTGCATCTGACAGTGGGAAGAAAATTAATTTTTATTTCAGAGAGATGTATGAGTGGAATTTTTCACAGTTGCATAAGAAATCCGGAATGTCTCCACACTTCGATCGTCAACGCCGACTTGTTCACATACAGTGTCCTTCAGATTGCTAATAATAGCGCAACCACAAGTCCAGACTTGTTTCCACAGCAGTTTCCCTAAAGCGCCAAAGTAAATGTTTTTTTCTATGGAACATTTATTTTTACATCCTTTTAACATAAAAAAAATCCCTTCTCTACGGCAAAGGTCAACAACGTGTCCAAACGTGTCTCGGTATGAAATGATAATTACCACTGGGGAAGGTGCGTGATGATTATATACCTTGTCGACGTTTGATAAGCCTCAATCATTTTTTATTTCATCGAACTCCAGTTATTACGTTAGTAAAATTTGAATTTTGTTTCTCAAGTTCTCGTTGTTCGTTGCATTATTGAGGATAATTTGTACGATCGAGAAAGTGTGGTAAAATAAAAGTGACCCCGGGGAACAGACAGAACAAAGGTTACTTCCACGCATTATTGCACACGTACTGTACTGTAAATAAGCTTTACATCATTTGATAACAACTTCTCTAAGGAAAGCAGATACGCAAGTCGGAAAACTGTCATGGTCAAGGTTTCAAGCACGCGCGCAAGAAGGTTTTGTTTATGCGTTCCGGTTCAAATCCGAATAATTGAAAAATTATGAACATCGAAATTTTGACTTTTTTCCTATTTGAGCAAGGATTTATAAATCCCCTGAAGGGAAAGTCGAGTTAATTTTACCCGCTAATATCGTATGTTTCTTGATTTTTCCGAGTTCATGGAGCTACTATATTTACGGAAGCTGTCGATTTTCGTAATGAACTATTAAAAACTCTGACTTGACTAAATTTTCCCCGCGAACTGCTTGATCTTTGTTTTCGAAATAACGTTTTTTTTTTGTTTCATCACGAAATGTTCTTTGTTAAGCAGCTTTCAACACGATGAGGGAGGCAAAACTTGAACAATAAAAGTGAAAGTGAACCGAAGTGTGTCGTGCGGTGTCTGTGGAAAGCCGCCGAAAATGCGTGAGAATTGAAGTTGCTGATTAGATGTTAATTGTGCACTTCGCAGCTTTTTCGTAACAGATTTAGCTTAAAGATACCTAACTCTTTAGGTTCGTCTCGACAGGCACACACACTATCCATATGATGTCAACTTAAAATGCCTTTTATGGCGTGTTTGAAGTGGGTCAAAAAAACATGTTTAAACTTGCCCGGACAGTACGAATAATACCCAGGGTAGCTGAATATACCGGCTGATGACGTAGTGACGTAACCCTTTCGTTTTCGCGCGTTTACATAAATTCTTGCGACTCCAAAAGTCTTTGAACCCTGGAAGGAAATTGACTCGGCATAACAAAGAGACGTAGCGAGAATTCTGTACTGTGAACCCTTTCACTGCATGTGGCATTTTTTGCAATGAATCCTAAAGAGAGTAAGGCAAAGAAGTGCCTCTTTGGGCGACCAGATCACGAAGAGCTTGAAAAAGATAAGAATGAGTTGTTGAAGAAAGATTTACAAGAGATGAACAAAAAGTGGGGCTTCGATTTCGAGAAAGAGGAACCGATAGAAAACGATAGATTCCAATGGGAAAAAGTTGGGTCGACTGAAACCGAGAAAGACGAGTCTAGAGTTGGACAGAGCAGCGCTGCGGAAAAAGGGAAGGATAATGAACTTGCTAGAAAGCATTCAGCCGATAAATACTCACAGCTTCCTCAAACTCCGCCGAAAAATGGCAAATAATACTTCGTTGTTTATGTTGCTGCTAGTGCGACCTGAAATGCGGCGCGGAAATCACACGGCAATGTACGGAGCCCTTGCTTTGCCAACAGGAAGCAACTTAGATAACTGAGAAGTCATAGTTTGAACAACATGACCTTCTTCGTCCAACGATCGATTCGACCGGAAATAAGCGGAAAAACACAACCAATTTTTGAATTTTCCTTCAAGGGTAACGCTATGGGATACTTGTGAGTTGCCATCAGGTGTTTCAGATTTATATTATTTAATTTCACCGTAATTTATTACTTTCCGAGTTTCGAATTTCAGAAATAGTTACCGATTGCTCGCCGCTCGAGGTCTTGAATAAACCCTTCGCTAATGTATTTAACACCTTTCATGTTCTGTAAAACTCTTTAGCAGGTGCGCTCGGGCAGAGTTGGATTTGCATGTCGTTTAAAAATATAGAAGAAGATAGACATTTGTTGGTTTAAATAATCCAGTCAAGACAGATAAGGAGAGATAAGGTGTACATCTATATGTACAGTGTTATAATTGTAACCTGACAGGGACTCAGGCCTTTTCTAGTTTTGTATAAATTGTATGATTTAAATATTTGAACTTAAAAACTGAATCATAACTAAGCAAGCGGGTGCCTCCGAAAGTGGTTAGCGTCTTAATTTATTGTATTCATTGGTATAAATGTTCCACTATCTTAGTAATTACTAACTGTTCAATTTTCGTGACAGTTTGTCTGACTAAAGTGTTACTGAATGTTCCGAAAATGTTTCGGAACTTAATTTATCTGGAAACCCCTTAGCTGAGTTGTTTACCTATCGTACGCAATGGGCTGTTATATGAAGCGTGGATGCAAATATCGGTCAACTGCGTATTTAAAACTAAGGACAACTATTTTGGTTTTCCTCTTGACTGGTCGAAATATTGTCACGTTTCAACGCTTTCACACCTTCCAGCAGGCACGCTTCCAATGATGCTAGAGCACCGTGACTAACCACAATAGGTTTTCGAAAACCTTAGACTTCTTCAATTTTTCCTTTTTTCTTCTTCTCAATTTTGAGAGCAGTAGGCCAGTCTATTATCATTTTATAATGGTGTCATTTTTCGTTTCAAATAAATCTTTGAATGCGTGCGAATCTGATTTTTCTTACAAGAAATTTCATTCGTCTGTTTTACGTAACTTTTCAACTGCGTTAGATAGCAGTTTTACGCAAAGTACTCGAACAGCGAGGAAATTTTCAAAACATCATTTGTTCGGTGATGTGTAAAAGATTTGTCCGATGTCGCCACTTTCAGTCAGCATTCCAAACTTCAGTTTCTCTCATTCGCGTGGCACTGTTTCCGGTTCGCTGTGACTCATACAAAGAGATAAAATTCTTGGCTGTGGAAGTTCTTTTTACAAGCATTTAGGGCCTGATTACATGAGCCGAGCTGGCCCGGTTAGCCGGGCTGAATTCTTTTGTTTTCACGCTTTGGCGAACACCAAAACAAAAGAAATCAGCCCGGCTAACAGGGCCAGCCCGGCTCATGTAATCAGGCCCTTAGATTTGCGTTCGGAGCTAGGAATTTTTGTTTGATAGCGATAAAAATGAACTTTTAGTCTTATCTTCCTGATAGATCTGGCTTTTGGGAAGCGTCATTTCAACAAATAACTTTTACGTTGAAGTGTTTATGTTAAAAGATAATTAACACCTTTTCATTTTTCTACTATCCAGTGACGTTGCTTTCTATTTGATATCAATCTTTTTTAGAGCAATTGAGAGGAGAGTACAGACACTTACTGTTGTTTGTCATCTTGCACAATTATTTCGAGGGTTTTGAGCTTCTTTCAACCACTATTTTTTATCATTTTGAGACAAAATTTTGAACTTTGCGCATGTTTACCAGGTCAATCTAGTACTCTGTGGTTGCGTTACGCAATAGATAACGGCATAAATGGCAATCAATGCATTGATATTGACTTCACAAAGTGTGTGAATTGATGTCCTTCACACCCATTTTCTGACAGACATAAACCTGTGGAAGCTTCCATCATGTCAAATCGTGCCAACAACTTTTCAACGAGCATTTTTTTCTCGAAAATAATATGAAATGTCACGGAATCGCTTATGCAAACAGATGTACAATTTTGACCAATCTTCGGAATTATAAATTAATAATAAAGACAAAGATTGCTTAAATCGCACTACTTCAAATTAAACCAGATGTGATGCTTGAAAGCAGATATCATGTTGCAAACGTCGCTTCAGTTTCCATTCACGCCCATCTATGGACGAAGATTTATTGTTCTCAAACAGTAATCTCACTTACAATCACTCTAAAGTGTTACCATTCTTTTCAACTCCTTCAAAAACATTCGTGTTTTTCGATTATAGCTTCGAAAAGTCAATTTCCTTGCTGCTCTTTTTGACGGCGTCAACTGTAAACAAAACTTAAGAACAAAGACTTCTTTGTACAGGAGCTGTCATATCTGTCATCTCAGATAAATACAACTGCTGACGTAGCACGTTTTTATTGGCTGGGAGTAATTCTCAGGCTAATCTGTTCGCGTGGCCTTTTACGGCGTGGCGGGATTCAACTAAAGGGACGCTTGGTAATTTTTGTATATTTTCGTCCCTCCGATTAATATAAACAATCCTTCCTACAGAATTATTTAATAGTTTGAGGCTGTCCTGTGGAAGTAAGAAAAATCAAATATTCTTCATTTGGTTATAATCGGGTCAGACAGTTTGCCTCCGGTGAAAAAGTGTTAATGCCCGAAGGGAAGAGAGAAATAGTACAACCGTTGAGTAAGATTTTGACAGAGCGACGCCATCGCTACGCAACATCTACTACGTTCATTTTCTCGTTTGGATTGCAAGTTGAAGTGGTTTGGTGAATGGAATCACACTTAAAGGAGGTTCACCTAACTGTCAATTTGAGAAAAGCGTAGAATTACTGTTAGTGCTCGAAGAGAATTGCTACAAGCTAACTTGTATTGCACTCGATTTTGGAATACTAATCCTCTAGTATGATGAGCGTTAGTCGTGACGCGGGCAGAGGACGCGTCAAGGCCGTCAAGAGAAACCTCTTCGGAACAGTTGATCATAAGCAAATTCGAGACGATTTAGCTAGAGAGTTAAAGTACATGTCAGAAGAAAAGAAATGCGAGTGGAATTTCGATTTTGAGAATTGTAAACCGCTTCCAGGTAGATTCAGGTGGCAGCGAGTTGGTAAAAGACTACAAACGCGTAAGTCGCCAACGGCAGAGATTTCTGCGTGTGACACGGAATCCTCCGAAAATATTTGTCGACAAAACATTGTCGATCCTATCCACTCTACCGCAAGATATAACTTAAGAACTAGAAACGTTAACAGAGAAGTGGAAAATATTCAAGAGAGTGGGTCTTTACCGATCAAGCCTCCGCGGAAACGTGTACGAGAGTTTGGCGATACGCCGGCTGGAAATGGAAACAAAAAAGTCGCAGGTGAATTTTGAATTGTTGTTTCTGTCATTGTTATGCGGCAAGTTACACAGACGGTCAATCAGATCTCAAGCGAAGTTGCTAAGAGACTTTTTTTCTCTCCTTCTAGGTAATTGCGTGAAACAGAGACATACAAGTGAAAGAAGAGGTAAAACTTCAGTAGTAAAGGCGAATGAGCGACAGCGAAATTATGAGGCGAAGAGAGCTCGACGGTGATTGAATCTTGATCAAATTTATGTCTGAAATTTTGCAACAGTAAAGTTAGGTCGCAATTTATCTGCGTCGAGATTCAAAATTTTTCCTCGTGGGTAATTAAATTCGATGGAAATTTACATCGAGCAAATTGAATTCCTCGAGATTATTATCCTTCAGACAAATCGATGTTTGAGTTTGTACGTTGAAAAATTCCTGCTTTTTGTAGTGGCTGAGCAACTTTTAATGCAAAGACGTACTGTATTTTCTACAGGAAATTAGGTTTTATAAAGTCTTTTAATTATCTCGTGCACAGCTTCGTTCTCGAAGCGGTTGTCATCGATTTTCAGTTTAGTTTTGGCCAAATATTTTGTTGGCGTCGCTTTCCATGGTTGAGAGAGCACAGAGTAAAAGTTGACGCGACTCACGACTGGAAAGTCAAATAATCGATTAAAAACTTACTTTGTAAATAACAAAACTGAAATCAGAGTTTACTTAAGATTATAACAGTTAACTGTAATCAGTGTATCATTTTTGATAGTCTGGCTTTTAAGTTTTTAAAGAAAAGCCGAGATTTTTTTGTCAGGCCACTGATCAGGTGATCTTGAGCAATTTTCGCGGCAAAAGTACTAAGATATATCAGATGTTATGCTGAAACAATTAAGATTTCAGTGGCATGTCATTGGCAGCAATTTACAAAAACCTTCGATTCGATTTTCGAAGAGACCTTTGTTACAGATGGTGTGTCACACTCTTTTCTTTTCAACAGGTCATCAATTGATGTAACGTCTTTGTACAGTCATAGATCTATTTTATTTGTATTGATCGGGTACGTTTGACAGCCGCAGTAACAGGATTACAATATGTTATTGAACAAGCAATCAAACTCTCCCAGAGACATGGAATACACAACACTGATAATTGATCGGCAAAAGCTAGAGTAAAGTGATATATTAATTCATAACGATTTTGTATTTTGATGATGTGCATTTTGACACAATATCTAATAGATTATCAGATATAAATATTTATAAATGGATAGTTGAATAGCTGAAATAAATTTTAACACATTACTGAAACTACAAATGACTTTTTTTGTAAAGATTTATGCCATTTTTCAAGACTTCTCTGATCGCAATTTTTTTTAATGTTTCTGTATGGTGTATGATTTCATTTGACGGCATTCTTGAATTTAGTACATAAGCACTCTTAGAAAGGCACACAAGACCGATTTTCGGTTTCACGCTGGGACATACTTCCTTTTACGGCCAACAAATTGAATCTTTCTTTGTTTTTCGTTGCGTGAAGTAACTGGTAAACCTTTTAAGTCATACGCCTAACCGATGTAAAGGCTTGCCCGTAATCTGTTGAAGAGAAACAAGAAGAGTACGCATTTTTTACACAGGAAAATGCCAGGGGAAAGTAGTTTTTGTCGTCAAGATTTATCCTTTGCCTTGTTGATGTACGTAAGTTTAAGCTGCTCGTTGGAGCGAAGACATCTGGAACCAACTTGAGAATCCTTTCCTCCATATGCCGTGGGTTTTTCATTGCTAAAGTTATTTTGGAAGTTGGGTAGATCTCATGTTTCACCAAACAAATTTAATATGTATCCAAGATGGTTTCTCTTTTTGTTCAAAATAGAAAGGAGAAATCGAGATTACATTTATTACCCGCTGTGTGCATCAAATTCAGCAATGCATGATTTTGTAGCAAGTTCAACTCCAATATGTGCCTTGCCATACGCGCGATAACCTCTGAAGGAAATTGTGTCAGAACAAGTTGAATCTTCAGGAAGTGTTCGGTAACAGGAAATAGCCCTTTCTTTGCTTATTAAGCAAGGAACAAGAATGGAAAACGAGTTTTCTATTTTTCACTTCGACAAACGAGTCTGTCACGCACTTGCAAACGCAAACGTGATAAACGTGACGCGCGTAATTCGCCACGAGCGCCTCTATAGCAACCCAAGATTGATCGCCGCTAAGGAGCTCGGTGCAATGGTTGACACGTGTCTGCTGTTGCAAACCGACAATGTTTCATCACTTACAGATTGAATGAAAATCATGATCTTATTAGCCTGCAATGCGATGATGTGTTGATTCATGATATTGAATAAAAGTGGGTTGCCTAGCGTCTGATCAAATTAAGTTTGACCTAATAGTATCATACCGTTCCCGAGAGGGTAGGCGTACCGATTTTAATTTTTAGTCGTATCAGTGACAAATCGTTGTTATTCTTGCGATAATCTGCGATGAGCCGGCGCAGACTCACTGACCATCGGCGCCGTGAGTCCATTGGACGCTAAGACAGTTACATTTCGCGTTGATTTTGCGTTTAAACATGTTTTAATTTGATACTAAAAGAGGCGTTGATTAATTAAAGCATTGTTAGATAATGCGGGTTTATTTAGCTTTTGCTCGGGCACTGTACTGCTCTTGAATTACAGTTTTCACCTTACTATTTCAAACCATTGTCTAATAGATTACTTTTGTTGTAGTAACGACTTCTGATATGATACTTAAGGGCGAATTTCTGTCCTAATGTCAAGATGTCACCGCTTTGTCTTTGCACTTCACAATTTTTAATATCGTCAAATGACCTTACGTTCCTCGTAGTTCTTTCCTTTTATCTGGGCCCCTAACTGCGAGGAACTTCCGCCGTTTTCCCGAGGTTCCTTTTTTGAAAAATGCCCATTCTGCGAGTGATTAGGTCATTGCATTTTAAAAGTCCTTTCATTCGCTTTTAATCATATTCTCAACAGCCGTATAATCTCTTAATTGACGGAAATGTTCGAAAACCATTTAAGCCATAGCCCTAGGCTAGTCTGCGGTAAGTGGAGCGATAATACCACGTTTATAGACTTCAACCACATCCTGTGGAGCGTTGAGTTCTCATACACGTGTACGGGTCGAAACATATTTCTGAGCGCGTGGCGCGCACATGCTAACTGCCGTGAATCGTACACTTGAAATACTTCAAGAAAACGTTTTGTTTCGTTTTTTGCGCTGGGTCTCCCTTTCCCCCTTTTACGACTTACTATAGCACGCGAGAGTCATCCCCCTGCTAATTCAGCAAAGGACGTTGAGTTGGGGGACTGGTTATCTCGCATGCGCTTATTATTTATCTATCGTTACCAAGAAAATAGGTGACCTTCAGCAAACCATGACGGCGATGACATAATGAGAACGAGGCCACACAAAAGATTTTGAAATTAAGCGGAACAATGGCTGGAACGTGCTTTTTTAACCTTTGTACTGTACCTAGGCGTCCTCTGCTAAACATCCCCCAGATCTCATCAACTTGTGTGCAGTTTTAGATCGAGTTCACCGAGGTCAAATTATTCAATTCGAGTTTCTTGTTGGAACTCAACTTTAACTTCAAGGGTCATAGAGAAGATGACGTCTGATGCTGCCAGAGAAGGTAACAACTTCGAGCCAATCGCGATTTTTTTTAAGTTCATTTTCTTAGCTTCGCCTACGTGACTGCTGAGTTGTTCCTAACTGACGCAGTCAGGCAACGTTTCCAAGACTGCTGCTTTATTCTCTTCTGCTTTTCAAATTGATTTTTGTAAAGATCTCCCAGGTGATATCAATATGTTTCCCAAGATTTGGTATAATTTAACTTTCCCTTGCAAATATCGATTGTGGTACTATACAATGTGCATGCGCAGAACACGCGCGAGATTCGTAAGCTCTGAACTTGCGATTGTTGCGTCACAATAGATACTACAAACGTAAACATTTGCCTAGCTACTGATAGAACTCTACTTTTCCATGCCTCATCTTCTTGATATCGTTTCAAGATGAAAGTGCTGTTTTTCCTTTTGTGGCTATTGTGTGGTTTGGCTCCAGGTAAGAGAAAAAAAGACCAAACAAGGAGATGATTTCTCCGCTTTCGGGTTTATTTATTTATTTACACAGGGTAGCCCATTCAGCTCTAAGGCTGGTATCCATAGGGGCCCTGTATTGAAAATAATTTACATCAAATTTCTAGAATAGATATATATATATATATATACAATGACTAAGATTTCACAACTACATCAACAGCCTAAAACTACAAAGCTAAAAACACAATTAAAACATAACATAGTAAATAAAATATCAAATTACGGTAAAAGGAAATGTTTTGCTCGGCGACAGAACGTTTGAATGTTTTCACTCTTCACAATGTTTAAAGGAAGTTTATTAAAAATTTCTGCGCCAGTAAAAAGAAAGGTCCTTCTCCCAAAATTCTGTTTTACTTTTGGTAGGGATAGCCTCAGACTTTGCCTCGTGGAATAATTGTGAATATNTGTGAGCCTTCCAAGTCATAAAATTGTCGAACACCACGCCTAGGTATTTAAAAGTAGTTTCGCAAGAAATGAGCTTTCCGATAAGATTAAGATTTAAAATACAATCGCGCTCTTTATGCCTTCGAGATGTAAATAGTACACACTTAGTTTTTGAAACATTGAGAACAAGATTGTTGTCTTCTAGCCATTCAGATAGACATTGAAGATCTTGATTAAAGTAAAAAGTTAAATTGTCTACTGTTGGGCCAGCAAGATATAAAACTGTGTCGTCAGCGTACATATTTACAGAACAGTGTTTGACACAACGTGGTAAATCATTAATGTAGACAATGAATAACAGGGGTCCGAGGATGGGTTTACATCGTGCTTTTCGGTTGAATGTCGTAAAACAAAAACCAATCGGAGGAAAGGAAATGATTACAACGAGCTACCGAGATATCAAAGTACAAACAAGCAAACTGCCTGAAGCGCGGGAAAATGCGAGTGAGCAAGCCGTGGCTGCTTATAGTATTCAATCTGATTGGTTGAGAAATGGCGTAAGATTTCTGGACCAATCAGAGTGCGAAGTTTGGTAAAACCAAACCATTGAGGACATGGGGGAATATTTCAAGGAACCAGTGAGGACTCAAAGTAAAAACAAGCAAACCCAGTGCCTCAAACCTGGTAATACGAATAGCAAAATGCTGATGATTTCTATTTTTCATATTCCGAGGGGATACCGCAAGCTTTTTGAACAAATCACATGATGTAGTGATGGTGAAGCGAAATCATGGATGTTCCCAAAGGATGTTTGCTCTGACGAAGGGCTAACGCTCGAAACTTCGGCTTTAAAACTCTTTCCGGTAGCCAACTTACATTATCAACTCAGTTGATAAAACAAAAATTACCTTGTTACTCCCACCACCGACGCAGCACCACAGTTTCTTCAGAAACTTACCCCCGTTATTCGTGTTCCAGAAGAGGTTTTGTTTCGTCATTGTTGTTAACTACAACTAGTGGCTAATCAACCTAAGCTTATCAACGACACTTAATTTTTTTTTCTGTTATCACTTTTCAGTCTTGCCATTGTTTGAGAAGGCTGCTCGAATCGACAAAGTCAAATCAGATAACATTAAAGCGATCCAACTGGGTAAAGAAACCACGTTGAAATGCGTCTATGATGGTCATCCACCACCAGTGGTGATATGGACGAAGGGGAAGAAAAAGTTAAAGGACAAGTGCGCTTTTTGTGTACAGAAAGTGGAGAACTCGCCCAGGCTGAGTACGTTACGCGTGACACCCTTTCGTGACAGCGATTTTGGAGAGTATAATTGCAAAGCGAGAAACAAATTGGGATTTCAACAAATCAAAATAAAACTTAGAGAAGATAAATCAAAAAGTGAGTATTTTGCAACGACGGAATTTATCGTTTGGAACCTCTGAGCTTGTTCTTACCTTTAGAATGCATTTCAATTGTGTTGCACGACAGGTAAAGTATCGACGCCATCACATAACGAAGTAGAATGAAGCTAGTGCACTCCCGATTTATTTTCGATATTAATGTGAAAACTACTCTAACTCTCTTCTCTTAGACATCACCCAGTGCCAAAGAGACCGCTTATTGGCCGCTGATCCCCGACTTAGACTAGAATTCTTGCCTCAATGCAAAGGTGATGGATCGTATCACATGATCCAATGTTCTGTCCACCTGAAAAAATGTTGGTGTGTAGACCAATCAGGACACAAGATCGCAGACGCTGTTGACGGTTACGATGGAAAGCATTGTAAAGAGCCAAAAGGTAATCATTTCTGCCTCTTCCCATCGTTCTATCTGCTCTTCTCCACTTTCCAAGGGCATTTTTTTTTCGAGTAACTCTTTCACTGCCACACTCAGTTGTCTCGTTAGTCGTCCCTCCATGTAGAGTCTCCAAGAGCAAGAGTATAGTCATTTTTTCAGTTGAACTAGTTGTAAAAATTCCATTCACGAGAATCGAGGCTGGAGTCCAGATTCCTTAGAAAATGATATATTGAATTTATTAAATGAACCACAACACTCGTGTCAGTTTTTTATGCCAAGGTTGGAATTGTCCATTTCACAGTTGCGTGCTTGGTTGCCAAGCCTTTGAACGAGAGTGAGGCTTAGGGTGACCTTGTTATGATACAGACGTTGCTGCTTTTCAAATGTGAATTACTTTGTTATCATGCTAACTAGATACTGGTCTCTACGGAAGCCGAAAAGGGACAATCCAAAAAGATTTTTCAAATCCCGAAAAATATTTCAAATCGCAATATTCATTTTAAACTCACTGTCGAAAAGTTTGACAAATCCAAAGATATTTTGCAAATCCAAAAAAATATTTAGAAATCCAAACGCCAGTAAGTAACGCGAACTACACAACGAATACGCTTTATTTATACACGGCGAAACAAGATGGAAGATACACAATGGAGAGAAAACAGTCAGGCGTCACTCGTATGAGCGCGCGCATAAAAGTAAACAAACACCGCCGGACAACCTGCTGGCGCAACGTCTTTTTCGTTCCTTAACGAGAACAAACTATAATAACAACGGCTCAGGAATTCTGCAAAAGTATAAATGCTGAAAGTGGTAGGACCCTAATACATGACATAGTCTTTAGAGTGCGATGGCGGTTTACGGGACCGCTGGGGCCTTGGAGGGGCTAGTTGCGCACGGCTTTCGTCAGGGTTAGAGTAGGACACGTCGGGTTCGACCGGGGCTCTGGGAACTTCAGGTTCCTTAGGATCGGACAGGGTTTCTCCACCGTCGCCTTGAGGGAGTGGGATGGAGGAGTCCAGGGATTCAGGGTTGGCATCGAACGGATGAGTGATGTCCAACGGTGGTTGAGGGGGGTCGGGAACGGACGCTTGTTCATCGTGGACTTCATCATCTGCTTGATTTACGCAAGAAGAGGGGGAGTTGACTTGTGTGGGGACGACGTAGCATTCGGACAGCTTGACCTTGTAAGAAGAAGCTCTCAACTGACAGCCGGAGAACTTCTTGACAAAACACCATGGGTCGTTTATCTCTGTAACGAGGTAGCGGTTTCGGGCGTGGAGCTTGTTCCGATCTGACACTAGATAGACCAGATCGCCAACTTTGATCTGGGGTTCGGGTGGTGCGAGGCCTCTGGGATTCTTGGCATGCTCACTGGATGAGTGGTTGTTCAGACGCTGTTGGTACTTAGCAAGTATAGTGTTGTAATCTGCTA